TGTGACTGGGGTGTAGTCTGCAATGGCAGGGAATGGCAATCGGGAGTCCAGAAAAGTAGTCAAACATGAATTGGGGCTTTATTTCACATACTAGGGAGTTTTCATTTTATCCTGAGCACAAAGGTATTATGGAAGTAGTTTAAGTAGTAGATTAGCATGATCAGATTTGTGTTTTACAAAGAGTACTCCCAAGCCTGGACTTAGTGGCAGTGGAAATCAGGAGAGGTAAATGGTTCTCTGAAGTGTGAATAAAGTAGAATTTTGTTGATTGATTGGGTGAGGTAGAGATGATACAGAAGAAAAGTCAGGAAGCAATATTTTGTTTTCTGGTTACTGTGCCATTCACTGTGATAAGGAACATGAAGTAAAGTGGGCTGTCAGGGAAAGATGAGGAGATGATGATTTCTTTTAGACTGAGTGTGTGGTATGTGACTGGAGACATGGGAATTGCATGTAGGTATCAGAAGCTCAGTAGAGAGATCTGGGCTGGAGGTTTACATGGGGAAGCCTCAGTATGTATGTAGAGTTGAAACCATGGTGGTGGAGGAATAACACCGAGATCAATGAGAACAATCTGTTATAAACAAAACCTTGAGACTCGAGAAACTTTAATGGATAGACATGGGAAGAATCCACGAAGGGGAAAGAAGAAGGTATCAGGAAACAAGAGAGTGTGATACACTAGGGGTCAGGACGGAAGCCGAGGTCAACAGTGTCAATAATGCAGAGGAGGTGAGTAAGATAAGGTTCCCAAAGGCATTTATTAACGAGAAGGTCATTGGTAATTTTGTAGAGAGAGACTTCAAGGAGAGCTGTGAGACAGATAGTCCTGGGTTTTTAAATGTGGACATAGAGAAAAGAACATTAAATATTCTTTCAGTTAGCTTGGCTGAAAATGGAGGGAGACTAAGGGACACGAGGTCCTAAAGAGTTTTTATTTTGTTTTGCTTTCATGATGAGAGAGACAAGCATGTTTATATGCTTGATTGCTGAAGTTACCAGAAAGAGTTGAGGTCCCTGACAAAGCAGGTAGAAACATTCCTCTTGAGAAGGTTGAGAGGTTCTGCTTTCTACCAAAGAGGAAGGAAGAATGGAAGAGAATGCACCGCCAGTGTGTGGGAAACAAAAAGTTGAAGGGTTCTCATCTGACCACATCAGCTTTTACCCTGTCAATTGGGAGGTGAGGTTACTGATTGCATATGTATCCGCCAGCTGAAAGGGAAGGTTGAGGGTGAGGCCTTGAGGAGTGAAAATTAGAAATGGTTCATAGGTGAGGAAGGGGGTAACCCAGAGCCACCCAGAGAGGGGCTGCTGCACAATGATGACAACACAGATGGGCTTGGAGACCATCTGCTTGTTTACAGCATTGCACCTGGAGGAGGCAGGTCAAGGTTTGACTGCTTCTGCTCATGAAAGTATGATGTTTAGAAAGACATTTACTGCTTTTGATGAAGCATTTAAGAATTCTCAGTGGCCACTAGCAACATGGCATTATTATTCAAGTAGCTAATTTTGCCAAGTGTAGGTAGGCATCTGCAGGGGCATTGTGACGATGTGTCCATACTCTGGTACTGACAAGGTTTGAATTAAAGCTTCAGTATTTTCTTTCTGTGTGACCTTGGGCAAATGACTTACTCTTCTATGCTTTGGGATCCTGGTAGGATCTTTATCAGGAAAAAATGAGGTGACTGATAGAAAGTGCTTAGTACAGTACCTGACTATTACACATTCAATAAATGTTAGTGGCTGCTATCATCGTCGTCATTGTCGTCATCATCATCATCATCATCATCAGGTTCACTGTGACAATACCAGAAGTTTCTAGAAAGCTTACAGTTTAAACCTTTACTATAGAGCAGAAAGTGGTCTGGATAGACCAAATCAGCCACAGCATTCCTTTAAGCCAAAACCTAGTCCAGAGCAAGGCTCAAACTCTCTTCAATTCCATGAAGGCTGAGAGAAGTGAAGCTACGGAAGAAAAGTTTGAAGCTAGCTGAGGTTGGTTCATGAGGTTTAAAGAAGGAAGCCATCTCCATAACATAAAAGTGTAAGACTACGCAGCAAATGCTGATGTAGAAGCTGCAGCAAGTTATCCAGATCTGGCTAAGGTAATGAATGAAGGTGGCTACACTAAACAACAGATTTCCAGTGCGAATGAAACAGCTTTATATTGGAAGAAAATGCCGTCTAAGACTTTCATAGCTATAGGAGAGAAGTCAGTGCCTAGCTTCAAAGTTTCAAAGGACAGGTGGACTCTTGTGTTAGGGGCTAATGCACCTGGTGACTTTTGGTTGAAGCCAATTCTCATTTACCATTCCAGAAAACCTGTGGCCCTTAAGAATGACACTTAATCTGTTTGCCTGTGTTCTATAAATGGAACAACAAAGCCTGGATGACAGCACATCTGTTTACAACATGGTTTACTGAGTATTTTGAACTTTCTTCTGAGAACTATTGCTCAGAAAAAAAAAAAAAAGATTCCTTTTAAAATATTATGGCTCATTGACAATGCACCTGGTCACTCAAGAGCTCTGATGGAGATGGACAGAAAGATTCATGTTGTTTTCATGCCTGCTAACAAAACATCCATTCTTTGGCCCATGGATCAAGGAGTCAGTCATTTTGACTTTCAAGTCTTATTATTTAAGAACTACATTTCATAAGTCTATAGCTGCCACAGATAGTCCTCTGATGGATCTGAGAAAAGTACATTGAGAACCTTCTTAAAAGGAGTCACCATTCTAGATGCGTTTAAGAACATTTGTGATTTGTGGGAAGAGATCAAAATACCCACATTAACAGGAGTTTGGAAGAAGTTGATTCCACCCCTCATGGATGACTCTGAGGGATTCAAGACTGCAGTGGAGGAAGTAACCGCAGATGTGGTAGAAACAGCAAGAGAACTAGAATTAGAAGTGGAGCCTGAAGATGTGACTGAATTGCCAAATCTCATGATCAAACTTTAACAGTTAAAGAGCTGCTTCTTATTGAATTGCAAAGAAAGTGGTTTCTTGAGATGGAACCTACTCCTGATGGAGATGCTGTGCAGACTGTTGGAATGACAACAGAGGATTTAGAATATTACATCAACGTGGTTGATAAGGCGGCAGCAGGGTTTGAGAGGATTGACTCAAATTTTAAAAGAAAATTCTGTTGAGATCAAACAGCACTGCATGCTGTAGAGAAACCATTTGTGAAAGAAAGAACCCATCAATGTGGGAACATTTATTGTTGTCTTATTTTAAGAAAGTGCCACAGCCACTCCTGCCACAATCACCACCACGCTGATCAGTCAGCCGCCATCAACATTGAAGCAAGACCTCCACCAGCAAAAAGATTATGACTCGCTGAAAGCTTAGATGATAGCTAGCATTTTTTAATTATTTATCTTTAAAGATTTATGTATTTATTTGAGAGAGAGAGAGAGAGAGCAGGAGGAAAGAGCAGAGGGAGAGAATCTTCAAGCAGACTACCTGCTGAGCACAGAGCCCGACTCAGGGCTCAGTCCCACGACCCATGAGATCATGACTTGAACTGAAACCAAGAACGGGACACTTAACTGACCGAGCCACCTAGGCACCCTGATAGTTAGCATTTTTTAGCACTAACATTTGAAAAATAAGGTGTGTACATTGGGTTTTTTTTTAGATATAATGCTATTGTATACTTAATAGATATATAATATACCTATTATTGTATTAATACAATGTTATTTTATACTTACAAGCGGTAGAGTGTGAACATAACTTTTATATGCACTGGGAAACCAAAAAATTCATTCGGCCCACTTTTTTTGCAATATTCATTTTATTATGATGGTCTAGAACTGAACCCACAATAGACCTTAGGTATATGTAATACTATAAAAATACTATACAGGCAGAAATACTATATAAAAACCTTTAAATTATGTTGGTATTCTTCCTTTACACTCGTACTTGTATTTGGCTTATAAGAGAAAAGCAACTTGATTTTCAGTTTTACTTACTATTTACTCTGTTAAAATATTGTGATGTGTTCTACTTTTTCCATATTGCTCACAGTTTTCTAGTTGGTCTCTATCATACAGTCTTCCTATATACTTTATCTTAGCTAGTTTTCTGAAACAAATTGTCATTTCAGTCAAAAACCTCACATTTGAACTATCTCAATTCTAATACATGAACTATATTTACCTTGTTGACCAATAGCAAAGTCAAGAGATTTTTATTGTTGTATTGCAGTCACCTAAAGAAATGAAAAAATTCAGTTGAAGCAGGGTAGAATTTTCTAAAATGTATTTGTAGTAAATCAAGACATTGTGAGTATTCCAGTCCTTTTTCAGTCTAATCACAAAGCTTTTAACTAAGAGTTTATAGTATATCCGTTCACCAAGCAAGTCTTTTTTAGACACCTCTTTATCCTACTCATATTTTTTAAAAGATTTTGTTTATTTATTTATTTATTTATTTATTTATTTATTTTAGAGAGAGAGAGAGAGCGAGCGACTATGAGGGGAGGGCAGAGGGAGAGGGAGAGAACCACAAATAGACACCCTTCTCAGCGTGGAGCCCATTGACAGTCCCAGTCTCATGACCCTGAGATCATGATCTGAGCTGAAACAAAGAGTTGGATGCTTAACTGACTGAGCCACACAGGCACCCCTAAAAGATTTTATTTTTAAGTAATCTCTCTACCCAATATGGAGATCAAGCCCAAGATCAAGAGTCACATGTTCAACCGAGGCAGCCAGTCACCCATATCCTACTCATATTTTCTTTTTAAAGATTTTATTTATTTATTTGACACAGAGAGAGATAGTGAGAGTAGGGACACAAGCAGGGAGAGTGGGAGAGGGAGAAGCAGGCTTCCTGCCAAGCAGGGAGCCCAACGTGGGCCTCGATCCCAGGACCCTGGGATCACGACCCAAGCTGAAGGCAGATGCTTAACGACTGAGCCACCCAGGCGCCCCCTACTCATATTTTTAAAAGCGATTGCTTTGCTTCTAGAATAAGATCCCAAGCTTTGCGCAGTGGCAGTATCGTAGCCAATGAGGTTTATCCGAGGCGCGATTATTGCTAATAGAATAAGATCCCATTTTTTATTAAATTTTAATACTTTGCAAGTATTAAATTTCAAACATCAGAAGAGAGGACCGTTTTTTGAAAACATATATTCTTTTCTCTTTTCAAATTCAAATACACTTTAACTTTGTTTCTGGGAAATATAAAGGAAAATTTGGTCACTCTGCACGAAACAGTATTTTATATTTGGAAGTAATGAATAGAAGCCAGGAAGAAGGAATTATATTTTTCTTTATTGAATCTAAAAACTCCAGGTAATGAACATGCTATTCCTAGAACTGGGTGGATGGTGCACAAAGATACTTTGTTTTGGCATGAAAAGGCTCTGTTGAAATTGCTCTTTTTAAGTTAAAAGAACTATGTGAACTTAGTTTAACGTCTAGGAAAGCACTGATGCTTGCCAATACCAAAAGACCAAAACCTGTAGGGAAAAAAAATTAAATGGTTGTGAGTAAAAATGTAGAACATGTATTTTTTAAAAGTGTCAAACTTGGACTATCTTCAGGTTTACAAGTAGTATTATAAAGAGTGATGTTGTTCTATTTGTTAAACAGTTTTCGAGAAGAAAGGTTTTTGGATTAAAAAAAACCACAGATAACTATTTTGACATCAGCTCCAGGAAAGGAACATTGCTTGCTGTGAATTAGCTTCAATGACAGTACCACTGTGTGGGCGGGATACCCAAAGGGTTTAGTTTACTTAGGAAATGGCTGCCTTCTCCACTGCATTCTACAGAGGGTTAGGGGCAAAGCCCAGAATTCATTAGTGTATTGGTATAGGATTTAAACTAAGACTACCAAGTATATTCAGAGATAAACTTAAATAATGTTCATTAATTCAGTTTTGAATTTAACCATAATTCTCAAGATCCTGTCTTGTTTTCAAGACCAACCCAAAATTTTGGTTACTGGTTTTGCTATTAATTCTGGATCTACCAGTTACTATAGTTCAGAAAATACTTATGCATAAAAAATTCTGTACAATCAAAATTTTAACAAAAATACTAGAGTATTAAATAAAAAAATAATTCCACAGTATGAAAAATCAATTTTGAATGATTCCTTCTTCTCTCTCACTTCATGTTTTTTCATATATACTTTTACATACTTATGTAAATACAATTTTAACGCTTCCTTATCTAACATCAAATATCTTTTAAAATATTTTTCATATTTTTTCTATTTAAGAAATAAAATAGCCAAATCTACCCATTGAGATCCTTTTTATTCTTCATAGTTTAACTAAAATACCTCCTTTTTCATGCACAGTCAAAATCAGTTCTCCTTTTTGCTTCTCTGCCTGAACAGTGGTCATTTATGCCTATGTTTATCTCCCCTGATAAGCTGGAAGCTACTTGAGGGTAGCAGTTTATTCATCTATAAATTCTCTCCAGTAGGTAGTAGGCACCTTGCGCATAGTAGGCACTGAATAAATAATTGGGTATTGAGTTGAAACAAATCCATAGAGACATTTAGAGCAAAGTGTTTTACAAAGAAGTTGAAGTGAGAAGAAATGAGCAAAGCCATAGAAGTTTTATGCCTATAAAAAGAAGGAAGAAGTGGTAGTACTAATTTCTAATGAAGTAGAGTTAGAATTTAAATATAAAAATGCCAAATAGGGAGAAGACTATTTACAAAGATAATGTCATAAACTTGTATGCACCAAGAAACACTGCAGTTAAATATGTAAACCAAAAACACATCAATGAGAAGTATAATTTGAAAAAATATATAGTAAGCAACTTTAATATTCCTCTTTCAGAATCAGATTGAATACATAAATAAATTAATGAGCCTATGGAAGAATTAATGTAAGCCATTCAAACTGGCCTGAATAGAAATCTATATACAATCTTACATCTCTTGATTAGAGTAAAAGATGTTTGTCCCAGAAACATTTTTTTAAATTATGTAGTTGGCTAGAAATAAAACCTTAATATTTTTTTAAAGATTTTTTTTTATCTATTCATTTGAGACAGAGAAATACAGAGAGAGAGAGAGCGAGCATGAGCAGGAGGAGGTGCAGAGGGAGAGGGAGAAGCAGGCTCTCCGCTGAGCAGGGAGCCCAATGTGGGACTCAATCCCAGGACCCTGGGATCATGACCTGAGCCGAAGGCAGACGCTTAACCATCTGAGCCACTCAGGTGCCCCCAAACCTTACTATTTTTAAAATTAAGATTTTACAGACCACTTACTTTTATTCATAATTAAGCAAAGGTGAAAATAAATAGTAGGAAAAAATTACCGAAAAAGTTTTAGCTGCAGAGAAATTAAGCAATACTTAAAGAGGAAGTGAAAACAGTTTATACACTGCCTAGAAAAAAAATGGAGAGAACATTTCATTCCAAAATTTTTAGAACATGGTAAAAACTATTCATTACTAAGGAATAAAAGCAGGAAACAAGGGACTAACGAATCATCTTAAGAAACTAGGAAAAGGATAACAAAATGAACCATATAAAAGCATAAAGAGGATAGTCCTAAACATAAAAACCCAAAGGAAGGAATAGAAAAAGAAAAAACAAACAAACAAACCAACAATATAAAGGATAAGCCCAAGAGCTGGTTATTTTAAGAAATACAAGATTAATTCTTTTAGGAGCCTGATTTAAGGATCAAAGAAAGTAAAAGTAGACAAGGTGAGGAAGAGACAAGGTGAGAAGAACAGATAAGATGAGAAAAGAGAAAACCACAGAGAGAAAGAGGGAGAACAGAGACTATTCTGTTGTAGCGGAGGGGAAACCAAGGGAAACCAAGGGAATAGACGCTTTCCTAGAAGACATATCCTAAATTAGGTCCTCTATTGTAATTGGCCCGTTCAAATTTTCAACTTCTTGTCTAAATTTTGGTAACTTCTAATTCCTGGGAGGTTTTTTTGTTTGTTTCTTGTCTTTCAGTTTTTACTGTGGTTGAGGATAATCCTGTTTCCCCAGTGGCCAGACCACACCTGAATGATGGCTTTAGTTTCTGGGTGGTACACTTTTACCAAGAAAGCTAGAAGAAGAAAAGATTTCAAACGATATATGAGGAACAGTTAGAGAAGTGTGGCTGTTTCCCTGAGAGAAACAACTGAAGGGACATGATAGCTGTCTTCAAGTGTTTGAAGACCCCTTACCAAGAAGAATGGGTAAATACCTCCTATAAGACCAAGGAGAAAATTAAAAATAACTTGTAGTTCAGGGAAAAAATGTGGGGAACTACTACATTGCTTTTCTAGGCCAACATGTCTGTTTTGCAATATTTTCCCCTAAACCCATTAGCTTAAATATGCCCAAGATTTGAGTCAATGGCACTACTCCGCCTACTCATAAATCCGCAAAATCATCTATATTTGCAGTTTTGCTTTCTTACTCACTTTTCAGAGTTGTTAAGAGAATTTACTATGATTTGTGGAAGGGCGAAATAGTTTTCCATAACTAGACCACCAATGGCTTTTTTTTTAAATTTTATTTTATTATGTTATGTTAATCACCATACATTACATCATTAGCTTTTGATGTAGTGTTCCATGATTCATTGTTTGCTGGAACACCAATGCTCCATTCAATACGTGCCCTCTTTAATACCCATCACCAGGCTAACCCATCCTCTCACCCCCCTCCCTTCTAGAACCCTCAGTTTGTTTCTCAGAGTCCATAGTCTCTCATGGTTAGTCTCCCCCTCCGATTTCCCCCCCTTCATTTTTCCCTTCTATTTTTTTTAACATATCATGTATTATTTGTTTCAGAGGTACAGCTCTGTGATTCAACAGCCTTACACAATTCACAGCGCTCACCATAGTACATACCCTCCCCAATGTCTATCACCCAGCCACCCCATCCCTCCCACCCTCCACCACTCCAACAGCCCTCAGTTTGTTTCCTGAGATTAAGAATTCCTCATATCAGTGAGATCATATGATACATGTCTTTCTCTGATTGACTTATTTCACTTAGCATAATACCCTCTAATTTCATCCACGTCGTTGCAAATGGCAAGATTTCATTCCTTTTGATGGCTGCATAATAGTTTATTGTATATGTATACCACATCTTTTTTTAAATTTTTATTGTTATGTTAATCACCATACATTACATCATTAGTTTTTGATGTAGTGTTCCATGAATCATTGTTTGTGCATAACACCCAGTGCTCCATGCAGAGCGTGCCCTCTTTAATACCCATCACCAGGCTAACCCATCCCCCCACCCCCCTCCCCTCTAGAACCCTCAGTTTGTTTTTCAGAGTCCGTCGTCTCTCATGGTTCGTCTCCCCCTCTGACTTACTCCCCTTCATTCTTCCCCTCCTGCTATCTTCTTTTTTTTTTCTTAACATATATATTGCATTATTTGTTTCAGAAGTACAGATCTGTACCACATCTTCTTTATCCATTCATCTGTCGATGGACATCTTGGCTCTTTTCCATAGTTTGGCTATTGTGGACATTGCTGCTATAAACATCAGGGGGCACATACCCCTTCGGATCACTACATTTGTATCTTTGGGGTAAATACCCAGGAGTACAATTGCTGGGTCGTACAGTAGCTCTATTTTCAACTTTTTGAGGAACCTCCATACTGTTTTCCAGAGTGGCTGCACCAACTTGCATTCCCACCAACAGTGTAGGAGGGTTCCCCTTTTTCCGCATCCCCACCAACATCTGTTGTTTCCTGACTTGTTAATTTTAGCCATCCTGACTGGTGTGAGATGGTATCTCATTGAGGTTTTGATTTGGATTTCCCTCATGCCAAGCGATGTTGAGCACTTTTTCATGTGTCTGTTGGCCATTTGGATGTCTTCTTTGGAAAAATGTCTGTTCGTGTCTTCTGCCCATTTCTTGATTGGAGTGGCTTTTGTTTTTACTTGCTTTTGGCATTTTAGGATATTTAAGCATATTTTAAAGGCCAAGAGAATGAAACCAATGAGGAGGGAGAGATAGAAGTTATAAAAGGTTTCTTGTGGGTTCTGTAAATGTTTTGAAGTTTGAAGTTGTCTCTAGTCCCTGAAATTTTCACTTGTTCCTTTTTACTGAAATTAAACCTCTGGGTAAAACAAGTAAAATTAGTCTTCCCTCCCCAACCAGAAGATTGCTAATTATTG